GTCTTAAGTTTGAAGTGATGTTTAGATGTTGTTTATTATGTTTAATGCCGCGTAGAAGACCACCTCGTGGTGTCTGTGTGTGTATGTGTAATGGCGGTCGCTATTTAGATGTAAGACCACCTCGTGGTGGCTGTGTGTATGTATAATGGCGGTTGCTATTTAGATGTAGTAGACTCACGCTCCCTGATGAAAGTGAATGCAAGTTAATTGTTTATAGCTCCTGTGCACTTTATTAGCTACCTATTTTCAGTGTTTATATTCCAAATGACAAGGTGTGTTCTGTATTATCGATAGCCTATGTGCAGTCGTTCTTTAATTATTGTAAATGCTTGTTAGATGCTAATGCTAGCACATTTTAGACTAATGCTAATAGTTATCCTGAAAAGGTACTTAACAGTACATTCTTATTTTTAGTCATGAAGTTAATGACATTTGGTTATAGACAAATGTGTTTATTTTGAATACTTCAAGCATGTTAAAAGTATATTTTGAAGACATGAACATATAAACATGTGTTTATATTGAGAGTAGGAAAAGGGCAAGAACAATTGTGTTTTGTTTTGTGCCAATTGTGAATAAATTCTGGCAAGACCCGCCAAACGAGCAGTAAAAGGCATTCTCTGCTCATCATTTCTCCTGTTCTACAGGAACATAATCTGTCATCGCGCCCTGCATAGTGGGGCCTGCTACACCTGGAAAAACAGAAGAATCTGTGGCTGGACTTCATTTTCAAGGGGAATGTGCCAGAACACCTCGGCAAATGTCTGCTTGTGTGTTCTAAACATTTTACCTCGGACATGTTTGAGAACTTCACTCAAGTGAAAAAAGGATACGACTCCAATCTAAGGCTAAAAACTGGATCAATACCAACCCTCCGGGATGGATTGGAAGCTGTAAGTTTTTCCATCTTAATGTTTGCATTCCTTTTTATTTAGCGGTGTTTTTCCTGATAAAGTTATCTCTACTACGTAGCTTGTAGCATGTAGCTTGTAGCATGTAGCTTCGCCGTATCAATGTCGCCTCAAACCCAAACTGTAATCGGTTGGGTGTTTATATGGTTTTTGTGCAAACTTCCCTGCTTTGTTGTGGAAGCCCCCCAGGCAGTCCAGAGACAGTTACCGGACGCCCCCCAGGCAGTCCAGAGACAGTTACCGGACGCCCCCCAGGCAGTCCAGAGACAGTTACCGGACGCCCCCCAGGCAGTCCAGAGACAGTTACCGGACGCACCCCTCACACTGTAACGTCATTAGTCACGCGCAGCGCGTGACTGGTCATAAACAGACTTTCAGCGAGTGAACGGGTCGCTGTGTGTTCCGCGTTGTGCGTGTATGAAACTGTAAGTGTTGTTACTGTGGCATAAGCACCTGTTTGTATCTATATGTTTGCATTTTGTATGTAAATAACAGTTTACACACAATAATCGGCGTAGTATATATATTGTTTACAGTACTTATTTGCCGTAAGTGTGACTGCCTGTTAAATGTTCAGTAGTTTCACTTTCTGTCCGCTGTGACTGTTGATATAATTATATTTGGTATGTACGATCGCCATATATGTCCAGTCTCGTGCTACTGCGGTGAGCTGTGTATAACTTTATGCCTCAGTAAGCCGCCATTATCACGTGTTAAAACACTTGCACTTGTTGCGGTCAAGTGAGCCCTCTTGCAGGCATTTCTGGTATTGTTTACCATGCAGCTGACTGTTCCAGCATTTATGTGTATGTACTGTTCCTAGCAGGAAATCGTAATGTAACTATTAGGATTAATATTTCTGTTTATTTATATTTCCTAGATAACCACAACATAACAAACGAACATCCTGTAACACCATAACTCCTGTGAACAATTAAAGTTTGGATATCTACACCCCCTGGATTGCTGCAATCTTTCTGACAGAAGATTTTGGCCAGACTTGTATACACCAGCATTCTTTATTCATAATTTCACAGTTTTGTAACATTTTATTTCATTTTGTAAGCTCCGCAGTCTTTTCTATTTAAACTATCAGGCATTTGCTAACCTGTTCAGACATACTGCTGTAATGGCGATCTGTGTGAAGGCTGTAAAGCTACGCCCTAGCCGATAACACAATTATTTATTCTCCTATTTATTAGTATTTTTTATCCTCTAAAATCATATTGAGTAAATTATAACAAATGTAATCTTCTGTAGGTAAGTGCCGTTTTTTCCAGCGTTTTATGTAAAAGCTTTTGTGATTGTAGTCTATAAGAATTATCAAATATCACCGATCTGTAAGCTAAGCTAAGCTACGCGAATGAGACGTGATGTGATTCAGCAGTCTTTATTATCATCTAAAATCATATTGAGTAAAACAACAACACACGTAATCTTCTGTAGCCAAGTGCCGTTTTTTGCAGCGTTATATGTAAAAGCTTTTGTGATTGTAGTCTGTAAGAATTATTAAATATCACCGATCAGTAAGCTAAACTACGCTATGCTATTGGGACGTGATTTGATTCAGCAGTATTTATTACTTGTTTGCGCACATGATTATACATATGTGTGTGTGTGTGCACGACTAAGGATACAACAGTGTGTGTGTATGTGTGCGCAATTGTTGCAAGGAGGGGGGAAAAACACAACGCTGCACAGCTCCGTTGATGGGACTTGGCTAATTAGCGGCTAGCACTCATTACAGTCTGTCTACTGAGCTCAGCCCCTCTCCAACACATCAGCTTTGCTAAATAGACAGCGTTAGCCCCCATCTTTTGGGATTTCAGATTATAATTATCCAAATAGTATTTTCTCAGCCTGAATACTAAATTGAGATGATTTTGTTCCAACTGTTTCTTCTATACAGGCCAGCACCTCACATACTACCAGCGGAAAACCTGTGATGATAGATGATAGATTCTGCATGTCAGACTGACCCACCGAAACTGCATACTGTATTTTTTTATGGGTTCAATGGACTGTTGATTTTGACAATAAAGTTCCGACAGTTTATATAAAATGTGTCAGATTTCCTCTCGTATTAACAGCAAGCATGGTAACATGACGCTCGTGCCGGGGCCGTGCCTCACCCCCCCCCATCTTCTGCAGGGGGGCGTGGTCAGCTGCAGCTCATTTGCATTAAAGCTACGTCACAGAATCAGCCCTTGCAAAAACAGGGCTGGAATAGAGCGAATAGAGCAAAATGAGGCATGGCTAAAATGCATGATCTGTTTGGTATTTTGAAAAAAAAACTTCACAGACATGTTTTATATAGGTATGGCCCTACAATATACTTTTCAAATATAGCATGATAGGAACACTTTAAAGTTTCCCATCATGTGCTGAAAAGGCTGAATATTATGATATTTGAATGGTTTCTGTAGCTGAAAGTATGCGGAGGTGTGTGTTCTTCTTAACCTGTTGAAAGAGGTGTCAACCATCAAACGGTCAGAAAGAGGTGTCAACCATCAAAATCGAGCAAGGGGGGCCAGAGATATGGAGAGAAAAAAACATTTTCACCCAAATCACCTCAGAGGTGGGGTGGTTTTGGCTAAACCTCTCTAAAAAGGTCAAATGTCACTTGTTTTGCATCAGTCTTGATACAAGGTACTTATTATATGTTGTACTTTGGATTCCTAAAGCTTTTAGTCTACTAACCCATCATCCAAGGGTAGTTTTCACTATCTGTAAAAAATAATTTTTGGACGGACACTATAATTTACAGTTTTTTACTATGTAAAATCTGAGTTTTCTTTAAAATAAAAAACATTTATATTGATTCTGACTTTTCTACATCCAACTCACAGATGTAACCTTGCTTTGATAAAAGAAATTATGCATATAACCCTTTTAGAAGTTAAGTTGTAGTCATTTGTTTTGGGCATGTCATTTTCGAGCCTGAAACATGAAAAACAGGCTTGGTGCTTAACAGGTTAAGAAGTTTTTTTTAAGAAGAAGTTGATTTTTAAAACAAATTGTATTTACATTTGTTTTAACTATACACACACACCCTGCAAAAGAGTTGGAAAAACCCTAATACATTACAATAACCAAGATTTTCATGACTACCAAAATAAATATCATTTGAAACATATTACCCATTTAAAAACATCCCCCTTTACACACTTTAAAAACAAAGACTACACCTAATTTTTTTAATTTAAATAATAGAGAGTCCTTCTCCCCCAGTGAGCACAGAACCTGCCCAACAGCCCACACATCCAGAAACCCCTGCAGATGATTAATCAGCATGTAGTACGCCAGCTCCACCAGGATTTTAGGAACTTCCCCTTGATTCTATTGGCTCCAACGGTTAAAAAGAGATGTCATTCATCAAAATCAAACGAGGGGGGCCAGAGATATGGAAAATGCACCCAAATGACCCCAGAAGTGGGTTTTTTTCTTCTAAATCTCTCTAGAAAGGTCAAATTTAACTTGTTTTGCATCAATCTTGATACAGGGTACTTATTATATGTTATAGTTCGGATTCCTAAAGCTTTTAGTCTACTAACCCATCATTCAAGGGTAGTTTTCACTATAAGTAAAAAAAGATTTTGGACGGACACTATAATTTACATTTTTTTACTATGTTCAATCAGAATTTACATTAAAATAAAAATAAATCTATATTGATTCTGACTTTTACATCCAACTCACAGGTTTATCATTACTTTAAGAATAAAGATTATTAATTTAACCCTTTTAGAAGGGAATGGTCATTTGTTCTGGGAATGTCATTTTCGAGCCTGAGACCTGAAAAACAGGCTCAGGGCTAAACAGGTCAAAGCCTGCATCAGAGGAAGAAGACAGAGAGAAAGAACAGACAGGTAAACACAGCAGAGAGGAGACACCCAGTGTTGCATGATCATGTTGACATTATTTAGACATTTTCAGTTTCTTCGCTCTTTTGCTTTCTTTCAAACCTTTTTTCATAGCAGTTACATGCTTCCTGAGACGATAGCATTTATTTTCATCCAACAGGTCTATCCCTACAACTTTCTGAAGAGTGCTCACTATAAAGAGAGAGTGAATAAAGAGGGAACATACCTGCTCTGTGGATCTGAAGCTGAGGCTGTAAAACAGCGTCCAGTAGTTTCCGGTGTCTCTCGTTCTCCTGTTTTGAACGAGACAGTTCCTCCTCGTACTCTGCTATCGTTCTTTCAAACAGAACAAAGATGTCTTCAGCAGCCGCAGTGAGTCGCTGCTTCACCAACGAGAGCAGCACAACACTCATGTTTACTAAATCACCACTTCCTGTTAGACACACTGTTTATCCGTGTGCTTCAGTCTCTGTTAAACACACTGTTTCTCCGCGTGCTTCAGTCTCTGTTAAACACACCGTTTCTCCGTGTGCTTCAGTCTCTGTTAAACACACCGTTTCTCCGTGTGCTTCAGTCTCTGTTAGACACACCTTTTCTCCGTGTGCTTCAGTCTCTGTTAAACACACCGTTTCTCCGTGTGCTTCAGTCTCTGTTAAACACACCGTTTCTCCGCGTGCTTCAGTCTCTGTTAAACACACTGTTTCTCCGTGTGCTTCAGTCTCTGTTAAACACACTGTTTCTCCGTGTGCTTCAGTCTCTGTTAAACACACCGTTTCTCCGCGTGCTTCAGTCTCTGTTAAACACACTGTTTCTCCGTGTGCTTCAGTCTCTGTTAAACACACCGTCTCTCCGTGTGCTTCAGTCTCTGTTAAACACACCGTCTCTCCGTGTGCTTCAGTCTCTGTTAGACACACCGTCTCTCCGTGTGCTTCAGTCTCTGTTAAACACACTGTTTCTCCGTGTGCTTCAGTCTCTGTTAAACACACTGTTTCTCTCTGAAGCTTCCTGAGCTGCTGTTCAGCTGGACGGCAGGAAGCAGAGGTTTGGGAGGATGATGTCTCTGATGCTGTTTAGATTTCTCCAGCACCACGGGGGGTCCTGTGTGGATGGCAGCTCCTTCCTCAGCAGATCCAGTTCTCCAGAATTGTTCTAACCACAGAGAAAACAAGAGAGAAAGAAAAAAATGAATTAATCTAATCAAACACAGGGTTGCAAAATGATGATTGCAAAATGTAACTCAGCAACAAAACGGTATTAAATACATGTAGTGGAGTAAAAGTACACCATTTACTTAGTTGTACTTAAAGGTCCCTTATTATACTGTTTTTCATCAATATATAACAGGTCTCAGATATATACAGAACCTGTCTCTCTACTTTATACCTCTAAGCCGGTTTAATGTTGTTGGGTATTTTTGTGATATAAAGTATATGTATCCATAACAGAGCCGAGATCTCTGTTTGGTAAAGTTAGAAAGACATTGACAGATTGAGGGAGACAACGAGCTACAGAGCAGTTTTAATCAAAGCACTCTGATGCGCGCCGTCCTCCATGCGAGGCCCTGGCTTCAATCTGCGGCCGGAGGAGAGACTGGCGCTCAGGGGCCATCAACACAAATACACATTTCAAAGCCGAAGGATTATACTACAAAAAATAACTGTACGGTGTATACAAACCAAAAATCCCTCCACATTAGCCGTCACTAAATACTACACCAAGACGTTTGGAGAAAGATGCTTTTTTTCAATAACTTTGGTGATTTTGTTATTGTTGTCGAGCCGATGAATGGGAGTCGGAGGCGGTGTGTTTAATATGGAACTCCACACTTTATTTTCCATTTACTCACACACACGAAAACGTACTAGCTGCATGCTACTGCGAAACTGGAATAACAACAACAGGAAACCGGAACATCAAGGTGCCGCCCACTAACCGGTCCGTGGGGCAACACTATATCTTGATCCCTGTCACTACCCGATCCGCATCCCTACCCGAACCGCATTGCGCATGTGCGAGATGGTCTGCCATATTTGACAACTACATACAGCAACTCAAATAGGACACTTTTATAACCTCCTTTAGCTTAGGAACCACTGGACCTCCCTCACCGAAAGGATAGGAGAAAATGCTGCCCCACAATGCCTTGCGGCCGCGACATTTGCCGTCACACAACAGTCGGCCGTTCACGGAAACAACCGATTATGAACGAGAAATGATATCATGAAAGTTACGGTTCAAAACGTATGTGGTAAGTTGCCAAAGTGCTTTGTTTTGAACGTTCATCAGTATTATAATCAAAAAGAGAAATATGAACGTTAGTTTTTACTGAAATGATCAAATAAAGTCAACATTTCACAGTCTTTACTGAGCTGTGTGGGGTTTGTTCAACTTTTAAAAGATGTTTGAATGGTGATATACACAGTGATAAATGTTAAGGACTAACGTTTATAATAAATACATTTGTATTGATTTTAAGATCTTTTCATACAATCATACGTATTGGGATCATTTGTATTAATGTGGACCGGAGGGAGAGGGTGACGAGCATAAGTTTCACTTTCCTTTTTTATTTCAACTTTGGTCATGAAGAATATGTTTCTCTGTTGTCCCCGTTCATAAAGCATAAAACAACAGCCTCAGAGCACGGTGCAGAGTCTCTAGATGAGTTTACAGTAGTCCCTCGTTCTTATTAAACATCCATGTTGTAGTCCGCTGTATAGAAAACTGTAGTTTCCATAGTTTCCCCACAGCAGCAGACGCACATTTATGACCTCCGCTGGCTCATCATAAACACGTCGGATAGTGAAAGTGCAGTCGGATTCTCTAAAGTACCGCAGTCTCTTCTCCTAAGTCCTTTTGAATTCTCCTATCCACTATCCCTTAACCCCGTGACGTTTCACTCAGAGTTCAAGGAATAGACGATAGGGTTAGAATTTAGGAGCTGATTTTTGGACTACCCGACCGCAACCTGTGTCTCAGATCTTGTTCATGATCTATCAATTATCGCGAGAACATGACGCCTCGATACAAGATGGCGCCGCGGATGTAATCAACAAGATGGCGTCGGAGCTCCGTAAAACAAAGCTGTCTCTGCCGTCTGACGCTCTGTTTGACACCATTTTCATATTTCTAGAATAATTATACAGTTTTTGACGAACAGAAATATTGTTTTCTGGCATTACTTTAACATTTTACATGAAAAATCGGCATTTTGGTTTGAGAGCGAACGCCGAGAGTAAGAGGGTGCAGAGCTCGTGTTACCTGGTGCAGACAAAACCCTGTAAATTAATTATGTTAGTGGATTTGGTCGTGTAAACAATTACTGGGGAAGCATAGTTATTTTGGTGATTTCTTCTTCTAAACTATTTTATAGTTTATAGTTTTATTTATAGCTTCAGTAGCTTTCTCCCTTGATCCTCAACGATCTGTTCAACAGTCTTAACCTATGAAATGTCCGAATTGACAAATCAGAATGGAGTATTCAACTAAGCCGTGTTATAAAATAAGTTGAACCCAATACTCACATTGATCAGTTATATTCCTCGTGGTTTTAAATCCTCTCTGCTGCCGGTACGGTGGGCGCCATTTGGAGAAAAAAAGACTCGTCACTGGCGTGCATTGCATCCTGGGATACGTATCAGTCCGTGACGCAAAAGGGTTCATCATGGGCTTCATTTGAACACAAACCCCCCTGTTGGTCAAAGTGTGTAAAACAGGCAGATTTAACATCTGAATAGTGTGCTGTATCTCATACCGAGTTCCCAATGAGTAAAGCCTTAGAATAACTCTAAGCAACGAACATAAAATCATATTTTCATGTTAACAATATTGTATGTATTCCAGTTTAATGATTGTGATTGAAAAGCCTAAGGAGGCTGGTAAACAAACAAAGAGGGATTTGTATTCCTTAATAATATTCGTAAACTTAACCATGTTGTAGCCTGAGAAAGGCTAAACCAAATCAAAGAATACATTATGAACTACATTATCTCATTTAGCTGTAGCTTTTATAAACAAACAAATAATACTTATTGACCAGGCGTTGAACCAGGGACCCTGCGGTTATGAGTCAACTGCTTTCCAGCTGAGCCACAGCCCACACACTGAATCCATCTGAAAACACTGCACCATATTTATTCCTGTATTTATTCATTTATACTTAAGACATGTTCCGACCTCTATATGAGTGAGGGTCTGAGCTCTCTTAATTCCATCGTGTCACCGGGCCCGGGTACAGGCAATATGGTCTAGCTGCGGCCGCGGCCAGTACACGACACTACACGACACGCCCACTACACGACACGCCCACCTGACACGACACTACGGTGGCTGAGAGACATTACCGTACATGGCAGATTAAAAGCGAATTGACGACACTTATTATTAATGAGATCGTACATGGCAGATTAAAAACGAATTGCAAATGTTATTGTAGCATTTTAAGCAACTATTAGGCAAATAAATTAATAACCTAGTCTATCCGTTTGAGACACAACAGTATAACTTTCAACCCAAATCATTTTGTCAACAAACGGTGGTTTAGTAAACTTTTTTTTAATATATAAAATAGGTATTAATGAGATGATCTATTGATTATGTTTGTCTAACTGCTACACATGTATTTTATACATAAATGTAGATATTTGTGAACATCTAAATATAGTTGTTAAAGGTTTTAAGATATACATAATCACATCATGGGGTCATTAAGGAACAAGGGCCAGTCAGGCCACTAATGAGCTCAATCATTCACATGTATTATTACTTTATAAATTAAAAGTACTAGGGGTCTATTACAAAACCTTTGAAGGAATCGCATCAATTAAAATAAATGTATGGCAAGTATGATCAAATTAACATAATGTCAAGATATAGCCAATAGACAATCAACATGCTTTGAATATAAAGGAAGAAGAACAATAAACAGATGAACATTTAGGTTTTATGTGTAAATTGTGAACAAACCATCTTAATACATCTGTCAGTCTAAGACAGCAAACTAAGCTTCTTTAACTGCTGCTAGAACACTGTTTTACCATGGGGTATTTCTAACAAGACCAAAAAGATATACAAGGCTTCCAAAACAGAAGAAACCAACTCAATACAGTATTTTAATTTCCTTCAAAACGACAAAAGCACTAATAAAAACCAAATAACAATAACATAAAGGAAAAGTAATTGAAGTGGTTGCCTGTTGTAAATACCTTGGTATCTGGCTTGATGATTGTCTCTTCTCTAATAAGTCAAAGATATGTTTACTGTATATTATAAAAATGCTTGTCATGTAGGCATACTGGAGATGGGAAGGCTTTAGTCAGTGTTGTAGCTGAGATTCTTACCGTTCCAATGATGTATTAATAATAACTTGGATTTATATAGCGCCTTTCATGAGACCCAAGGTCGCTTTAAAAAGAACAGGAGTAGAAACAAACATAACAAAAGGCAGTTAGACGAACAGTTAGACAGACAACACAAATAGATTTAGGGCCAAAGACC